CTATACTGTATACAGCCTGCAGAAAGCTATACTGTATACAGCCTTCAGAAAGCTATACTGTATACAGCCTGCAGCAAGCAAGATTGTATACAACCTTCAGTATGCTAAATTGTATACAGCCTTCAGAAAGCTAGATTGTATACAGCCTTCAGAAAGCTATATTGTATAAGCCTGCAGCTAGCTAAATTGTATACAGCTTGTAGGAAGCTAGATTGTATACAGCCTTCAGCACACTAGATTGTGTACAGCCTTTATGAAGCTAGATTGTATACAGCCTGCAGAAAGCTATATTGTATACAGCCTTCAAGAAGCTAGATTGTATACAGCCTTCTGCAAGCAAGATTGTATACAGCCTTCAGGTTGCTAGATTGTATACAACCTTCGGTAAGCTAGATTGTATACAGCCTTCAGGGTGCTAGATCGTATACAACCTTCGGTAAGCTAGATTGTATCCAGCCTGCAGGAAGCTAGATTGTATACAGCCTGCAGGAAGCTAGATTGTATACAGCCTTCTGCGAGCAAGATTGTATACAGCCTGCAGGAAGCTAGATTGTATACAGCCTTCTGCAGGCAAGATTGTATACAGTCTGCAGGAAGCTTGATTGTATTCAACCTACAGCGAGCTAGATTGTATACAGCCTTCAGCATGCTGGATTGTATACAACCTTCAGTACACTAGATTGTATTCAGCCTGCAGGAAGCTAGATTGAATACAGCCTGCAGAAAGCTAGATTGTATACTACCTTCTGCAAGCTAGATTGTATAAGCCTGCAGCTAGCTAAATTGTATACAGCTTTTAGGAAGCTAGATTGTATACAATCTACAGCAAGCTAGATTGTATACAGCCTTCTATATACAATCAAGCTTGCTTGAGGCTTTTTTAACAAACTTGCTTGTCTGGTGGCAAAGGCTTATCGTTGTATACTTATATTTGCCTCTCCAAGCTAACAATTTCTGTGTTATGGAACTTTTCTAATATTTATTGTCCTTGGAGATCTTATTACATTGCTGTGAATCTCTTCACCAGTTTAAGATGAACATCCTCTTCTCATTGCTTCTTTGTAGCAAATCATTTCCGATAACTGCCTCTTTTTTATCACTAATTGTGAATGGAATCTATTTATAGACAACGTTTGCCTGCAGACAATTTAAGTGTGTATATGTCAAAATCTTTGAGTTATTATGGATATATTAAGAGTTTTCTTGATGGACTGGAGTGTGATTAATAGATATGGGTGAAGTTTGCTAGGATCACCAAAGAGCTCCAATTTTTTGTGGGGAATTACCATATTTGTATCAGTTTGGTACATGAGGCGGTTATATTAAAATATTGTCTAACTGAGAACTTGTACTACCTTACCCGGCTAAATATGTGTTATGGAATTGTCCATAAGTTTATGGAAATGTCTGTTGTTATAAATTGAAGGGATTTTTTGGTCAAAATATGAATATTAAAGCTCTTGCTTGCAGAATAGAGACTCACATCATATTTTAAGATAATCAAATTTTGTTCTAGAATAGAATATAAACAAGACTACTGTTGTAACAAACTGTCTCCTAACACAGGTCAAAGCAAACCCTTGGGAGAATGGTTTGTCTTGAAATATCAAATTATTTCCTTATTCCAAAGAAAACACTTGCAAAACTTTTTATTTTAGCAGAGTGATCAATAAATATAATGTCTACAATATAATAAAAAGGTCTACATTTTTTGTGGAGGGCAAATTTTTTCACCGGAGGTCATGCTTTTTTAGTGACAGTCCAATTTTTTCAGGGGAGGTTATTTTTTTTTGTTGTTGAGATTTACATACACATTTGACGGTGTACCTGTTTTAAACTCACAAAGTCTTCTTCTTTTGTTTTGTTGTTTTTTAAGTGCATTCTGTTTTTTTTTTGGCCAGGAGATGAAACATCAAAAGTCATTTTGGTTTGTAAAGTTTCATAATACCACATTATTGCAATTTTGTAGGAGCTGGAGAGAAAACATTTATATTAAAGCAAGTCTGTTTTAATGGAGGCACTTATATGTTACAAAAGTCATTTTCAGTACAGTGAACTGTGAAAAAGATGCAGACACTGTAGAAAATTAAAATGCTGAATGTTCTGTGAGGGAGATTTAATTGAAATATTCAGTACAATCGCAATATTTGCTATCCATTGTAACTTGTTTTGGTTTCCACATTAATTTAGCGAATTGTAAAGATAATAAACTTTGAATCTCTTCTAACTCTTTCACGACTGTTCTTTTGATTCCAAACACCAGTGTTGCATTTTTTATTTTTTTATTTTTAAGAAGCAATTAAGTCAGGGCACTTGTTGGCTCAGTCCAAATTTGCTTGTACCTGAAATATAAAATGCATTTTATGTCCTTCCTGACCACCTGTAAAGCTCAACATTGCAACTACATGATGGCTGATGTCATTTATATGAGCCGTGTCATGACAAAACCAACATAGTGCATTTGCGCCCAGCATGGATCCAGACCAGCCTGCGCATCCGCGCAGTCTGATCAGGATCCATGCTGTTCGCTTACAAACTCTATAACAAGTAGAGAGACTGATAGCGAACAGCATGGATCCTGATTAGACTGCGCAGATGCGCAGGCTGGTCTGGATCCATACTGGTCGCAAACCCATTATGTTGGTTTTGTCATGACACGGCTCATATGATGTGATATTTATCTTGGTCGTTTGAAATTTTCACTTGTAAGACATTAAGTTTGGTCGACTCAGGCTAATGGCTCATTATAATGGTCATAATGTTAAGACTTTATATCATCCAAATTTGTTTCTGTGGGCTTGTGGTTTTGTGATTTGCTTGTGGTTCAGACACTTGAATCCTTATGCAATAAATATTCAGCTTGATTTAGCTAAAGTTCTAATGATAGAGTTAAAAAAAACAAGCATATCGTAAATAGATTGTTGTTGAAAGGATATCTCATAATATTGTTGTATTCTAACATACAAAAAAAGCAGATCTTTTGTAATTTTGATTCCTTCTGTAAAACATTCATTAAATCTATTTTAAGAGCAAAGACATCTGATGTTACATGTTTTATGCCTTGTATTATCAAGATATTTCTATTCCAAATTATATTAGAAATATTTTTTGAAATTGACTGGTTTGTCAGTTTTACATTTCTGTGTTTCTAGAATTGACTGGTTTTATATTTTTTTGTGAAAGATGAATTGATTAAGTGCAGTTTGAGACATGAATGCAAGAGATAGCAATTTTAAAACGTTTGCACTCAAATATCAATGTCCACTGATGGTAAATGGTGCTAAAATTGATGTTAAGCGAATTGTGTAACATTGTTTTGTGTGATGTTGAAGTGCGCCATGAAGTTAGTTGGTGCATTTTCATATCAATTGACATTTATGTCATTCAGAATTGGAAGCCATAGATCCATTTATTAGATACTACTGAGAAAAGAAAAAAAACATGTTTGTATTGCATAAAAGGGATTGTTGTTTACAGATTGTCTCTATATAGTTTTAAGACAGGGAGATTTTTTTATAATAATTAAAAGCTATATACAGATATACTCTGTTTCTTGAAGCGATTTTAGTAAATAAGATCAACAAACAAGTTCATAAGATAGCTTTAAATAAATCAAGTGCAATGGTCACATGACCGTGTATTTTTAGCTCACATCACTGGGTTGCCTTTGTTACATACATTTTGTGTAATAACATTATTATTGTAATATGATAAATAATTACACTGATAAAATATTTATTAAATCTGCTGTAAAATGCTTAACAATATCAAAATAAACCTTTTTGATTAACTATTGAAACATAGATTGTATGGAACTCTTTATTTTGTGTGTTTTGTTGTGTATTTTTAGCTCACCTGTCACAAAGTGACAGGGTGAGCTTTTGTGATCGCTTTTCGTCCAGCGTCCGTCAGTCGTCCGTCTGTCTGTAAACTTTTTACTTTAAATGACATCTCCTCATAGACCACTAAGCCAATTTCATCCAAACTTCACAGGAATGTTCCTTTGGTGGTCACCTTTAAAAATTGTTCAAGGAATTTAATTCCATGCAGAACTCTGGTTGCCATGGCAACCGATAGAAAAAAACTTGAAATATCTTCTTTAAAAAAATCCAAAGAGGTAGAGCTTAGATATTCGGCATGAAACATCTTCTAGTAAGTGTCTATCAAGTTTGTTCAAAAAAAAGTCCTGGGGTCAAAATTGGCCCCGCCCCAGGGAGTCATTGATTTTCCCTATATGCATATAGTAAAAACTTAAAAAATCTTCTTTTTAAGAACCCAAAGAGCTAGAGCTAAGATATTTAGCATGAAATATATTCTAATGGATGTCTACTTAGTTTGTTCAAATAAAAGTCCTGGGGTCAAAATTGGCCCCGCCCCAGGGGGTCATTGATTTTTTCTATATGCATATAGTAAAAACTTAAAAAATCTTCTTTTAAAGAACCCAAAGAGCTAAGATATTTAGCATAAAATATCTTCTAATGGATGATTACCAAATTTGTTCAAATAAGAGCCCTGGGGTCAAAATTGGCCGCACCCGGGGGGGCTATTGATTTTCCTTATATGTGTATATCAAAAACTTAAAAAATCTTCTTTGAAAAAACCCAAATAGCTAGAGTTTAGATACTAAGCATGAAACATCTTCTAATGGGTGTCTACCAAGTTTGTTCAAATAAAAGCCCTGGGGTCAAAATTGGCCCCGCTCTGGGGGCCTATATACAGGTGAGCGACTTCAGGGCCATCATGGCCCTCTTGTTTTAATTTTATTTATTTATGCATTTTTCTCATGTGCAAGAATTTATTACAGGAATCTGTGACATTTTTTCTTGTCATTGAAGGTATTTAATATTAGACAAGTATATGATGGATGATTGCATGTCTTACAAAAGATTTAGTTTTATAGAAATGTAGCCAGAAGCAAAGAGCCAGTCTATCCGAACAAATATTATGATATAGCAATGTTTTAAGCTGTTTCTAATGTCTACATTTTCATATATTTTCAGAGGTATGAGGAGTTGTCCATCAAATGGGACCAAGCGCGAGAAGAGGTGCGTCTGGAAGACCATGAAGTGCTACGGGAAAAGGTATCCCTGCAGCAAGAACTAATACGCAAACAAGACGAGTATGCCGAAAGCAAGCGTCAGCAGCAGAAAAAGGCTGATGATGAGGTAAGAATATGTGTCATAATGATATGACATTTGGATTTCATTTTGGAGAGGAAACTAGGTTACTAAGAACCTGAAATGATGAAATCCCATTGTGACTGGTTACAGTGTAACTTTGCCATGTGACTGGTTTCAGTGTAAATGGATCCAACTTGACTGGTTCCCAAGAATTTGGTTCCTTTAATGTAATTGTTTCCTAATTTTTATGCCACCGCAGCATCTGCGATGCGGTGGCATATAGCGATTCACCTGTGTGTGTGTTTGTTTGTGTGTGTGTGTGTGTGTTATATGGATTATATAGTGAACTTAAAAAATCTTCTTGTGAAAAACTACTAGTCCAATTTCAACCAAACTTGGCAGGATTGATCCTTGGGTGAAGGCCTTCCAAAGTTGTTCAAAGAATTTCATTCCATGCAGAATTCTGGTTGCCATGGCAACCAAAAGGAAATATAAGAATAAATTTAAAAAATCTTCTTGTAAAGACCCAAAAGGCCTAGAGCTTAGATATTTTGCATAAGGCATTGTCTGGTAGACCTCTACCAAGATTGTTCAAATTATAGCCCTGGGGTCGAAATCGGCCCGCCCCGGGGGTCATTGATTTTCACTATATGTACATATAGTAAAAACTTAAAATACCTTCTTGTCTGAAGGTACAAGGCTTAGAGGTTTGATATTTGGTATGTGTTATTATCTATAGGTACTCTACCAAAGTTGTTCAAATTTTGCCTCTAGTGTCAAAATCAGCCCCACCCCGGGGTCATAGGTTTTCCTTATATGTATAAAGTAAAAACTTAAAAAAAGAATCATCTTCTCTAAATTGACAAAGGCTAGAGGTTAGATATTTTGTATGAACCATTGTGTAGTGAACCTCTAGCAAGATTGTACAAATTATAGCCCTGGGTCAAAATTGGCTCCACCCCGGGGGTCATTGATTTTCACTATGTACATATAGTAAAAAAATAAAAATCTTCTTGTCTGAAGGTACAAGGCTTAGAGCTTTGATATTTGGTATATGATATCATCTATAGGTAGCCTACCTAAGTTGTTCAAATTTTGTCTCTAGTGTCAAAACTAGCCCCGCCCCGGGGGTCATAGGTTTTCCTTACATGTATATAGTTAAAAATTTTAAAAAATCATTTTCTCTAAATGACAAAGGCTACAGGTTAGATATTTTGCATTAAACATCGTGTAGTGAAACTTTAGCAAGATTATTCAAATTAAAGCCCTTGTGTCAAAACAAAAAAACTTTGTTCCTATACATTACTATTTTAGTGTTGTATTTATGCGGTGGCATAGCATTTTTTACAAATGCAATCTTGTTGTAACTGGTACCTATTCATTTGGTTTCTATTAATGCATTTGTGTGTATAGTTGAACCATGTTATTGTACTTAGTGAATCAGCATAAAAAGTTCCAAAACTACAATTATCAAATTGTACAGATACTTACATGTATCTGGTCACTTAAATTCTGAAGCAGTAGCATTTTTCCTTTGTGTCATCAAGTAATCAGTATTGGGGTTTAGAATGATCCAGGTTGAAATCTAAAATGATGTTTTTAAATATATTTCTGTTTTTCTTTTTAAAACGTATATTGCTTATAAATTAATTTACATGCTGCATTCATAAAAAATAAATTATGAAACTTCTAAGATTGCTGCCAAGTTTGAAATAAAATTCAAAAGAAATAAGGGAAAGTAATGCACTCTTATTCTGGAAAACTTGCATGTTCTTATAAAAAGAATATTTCAATGAAATTTCTTGTTGTTACTCGTTCATCACCACACTGTTACTCACCATACCTTGAGTCTCAATTTGAACAGTAATCTACATCTTGCCAATGTTTGATATAAAAGTAATGGAATCATAACAAGAAAATGATGTGATTTTTCTGATGCTGCATGAAATGATTTACGATTGCAAGTTTCTTGTTACTCTTACAACTACAGGCATTGTCATAATGTTGTAGCTCTATTCTTTTCAGTTTTTTTCTTTCACTTATTATTCCTGTTTGAATATTAACACTGTATGTATAGAAATGATTCTCCCCAAAGCAGTACAAAGAGGAAATTCTCTAAAGACTTCTTGCAAAGAGATTGTCAATATATAATTGATTTCATATATCAAGCAATGATTGAGTTATGGGACTCAGTTAAGAGATATGTCTAAAAAAATGAATGAAATTAGTTAACAGTAAAATCAGCTAGGCAAGCTGGAAACCAGTCAAAAATATAAGGCCTCTGATTGGTTGTTTGGGAGAATACTGGATGTAAACGGAATGAATGTACCAATCAAATGATTTGATTATTGGGCTGATTTCCTGCTTTAGATTTTAGCACAATCATTGGGTGAGTCTGAAACCTCAATAAGGGCTTATTATTGAATAAAACTTGCCTGGAAGCTTTCTAGCATGAAATGATGCTCTAGCAGATATATCTAAATGGTTTTGCTTTATTATCATATCTGGATCACAGGAGCAAAACAAAAATCTAAAAATATTCATTCTTCAAAATATTCTCCCAAACTTCTTAACTGAAGAGCTACGATTTTTAATCGTTATGTAGCATCTACTACCATATTTGTCAAAGCCAAGACCCTCGGTCAAAATTATGCAACCAATTGGTCATAAATTACATATATAATGATAATCATGATTATTATTATTACTATAAACTTTGAAAGAGCTTCTTTCAAAGCATTTTGAAGACCACTGGAGTGAAGATATTGACATGAAGCATTGTCTACTAAGAGAACTTCTTTTTGGATTGCTCAAATCGATTCCCTTTGGTCAAAATTAGCCCACCCCCCAGAGTTACTTTTGTCTCATTGCCTTAATTGTTTTGACTCATTGACTTAATTGTTTTGACTCATTGACTTAATTGTTTTGACTCATTGACTTAATTGTTTTGACTCATTGCCTTAATTGTTTTGACTCATTGACTTAATTGTTTTGACTCATTGACTTAATTGTTTTGACTCATTGAATTAATTGTTTTGACTCATTGCTTTAATTGTCTGCAATTCCAACAGTTGTCATATATTCTTAATGCACAAAGTTTAATCCTGACGACAAAGAACAACACAAACAACAACAAATTTACAGTAGTGTTAACAAAAATAAATGCGCGTCAGTACATTTAACAAAATGGTATCTGAAAAATCTCAATAAATTTTAAGATACTATAAAGATTAAAAGTTTGATAACTTAAACACCTTTAAAATATTTACAGGTGTTCATAATTTTTCCATTTATAAAAAAAGTTATTGATAACCTTGTTATTTTTTAAATATCTTTTTAAAGATTTTTTTCCACAGATTTAGTTGAAACTACTGTGTTATATGCACAAAAGGAGCTCAATTACTTCTTTTGAATGTTGCTTTTCTATTAAGTGTGATCCCTTAAATATCATCAAAGTTGAGAAAACAAAATTAATGAGTCGTGTCACGACAAAACCAACATAATGGGTTTGCGACCAGCATGGATCCAGACCAGCCTGCACATCCGCGCAGTCTGATCAGGATCCATGCTGTTCGCTTACCAACCCTATTACAAGTAGAGAAACTGATAGCAAACAGCATGGATCCTGATCAGACTGTGCGGATGCGCAGGCTGGTCTGGATCCATGCTGGTCGCAAACCCATTATGTTGGTTTTGTCATGATGCGGCTCAAATGTGTCATTTTTTTATTACCATTTTTTTGTTTTCAAATATAAAAGAAATTTCAAGTGAGCAATATAATGTTGAGAAATTCTTCTGTCAGTAACTTTAAATGGTATAGCATTAAGGACGTTTTCGGGAGTTTTTATATAGACATATAGGCAAAATTAAAACTCAAAAACGAGCATGGTGACCCCAATTTTTTTTTCGCTCAAAATGTTTCTGTTTTCATATTCTAACAACATGCCAAGTTTAAAGAAATTCTATTGAACAGCTTTAATTTTGCCTATATGTCTTTATGAAAACTCCCGAAAACGTCTTTAAGACAATTGTCATGCGCTAGTCTAGCAGTCAGTTGATACTACTGATCAGACCCCACCCACCATTATACAATAGCACTGGTACTTCTAACATTTTGGATTACTGACCATTAGTAAGTTATTCTAGGACAGTATAATATTAGATGATAAATACATACAGTTTTCATTTCTGTCTACTTAAATGGACGCTTTTGGAAAAGTTTAGGTGCCCTAGGCTGCAGAAAAATATGTCCGGAAGAAATCACAGATGGATCATTTTGTAGTTCTTTAGAATATTATAAAATGTCTGCCAATATACAACATTAAAAGTTCATCTTGAAATGATTTTATATATAGACAGCTGTCTACTTGAGCTGCCCAGACTGTGATTAATGAAATGGAGGGTTATATATATTTTATATACAGTCAAACCTCTTATTTTAGACCACCTCGAGACAATACAGACCATCATATTATTAGCTCGATTTTTTAAAGAATAGGGAGAGCTATTGTTCTCACCCAAGCTTTGCTGTTGTCGTCACACTTTGGTAAAGTTTTTGCATGCAAGTTGACCACACTACATGGATGTTCAGACTGGCATTGCTGCTAGAAATAACTTGAAAAGATAAGGGAATAACATGTAGTGGTAGTTTTCATAACTCAGGATTGTTTGTTTTTTAATTGATACAGGTTCAGGTTCTACACAACGCATGGTATGTTAGAGAATGTGTTTGGATTATGTTTATTTAAATTACCTGCCCCTTGTTAAAATCAAAAATGAAATAAGAGTTTATTTCCTTTAAACACTTAACCATGTTTTTTTTGTTTGCTAGATTTAACATGATTGTTGTTGTTTTGATTGTTTGTTAATAGAATGTTTGATATTAGAAATAAATTATATATGCTAACTTCTATGCAAGACTTAATATTACAAGGATTGACCACAAAACTGTTGTAAATCCTTCATTATTTCATACAAGTTACTGCAGTTTTGAGGTCAACCCTTGAAATTTTGTATTTATATGCTGCGCAAAAAGTCTTGTGCTT